TTTCTGCTTGGTAAATCGGTAATTTTTGTTCTAACGTCTCTAAATATCACATTAAAATTTCTGAATATTACAATCGACCCCCCTAAAAAAAAAAGACAGCACTGTCCTCATGTGCTGAGAGAAAAAAATATGCATACGACCCCCCAAAGGAGACCTGCATCTCACACCTGTGACACGCTTAAGGAGCATTTTTGTCCTCCAATTTCTGGCACCCCTGATAATGCTGGGTTTTCCCTCCTCTGACAATCTACCCCCCTAAAAGAAGGCAGCACTGTCCTCATGTGCTGAAAGAACAACATAGAGCCACCTTCAAATCTGCATGATTCCAACTCACAAGCCAGCAATCTCCGCTTTCTGCCTTGTCCTTGAGCTTGAGAACTAGTGTCAAAAAATTACCGACTCCAATCAAGCACTCTACCCTTTTGCCTGGCCCTTGAACCTAGAGAACCATTGTCAAAAAATAAAACCAACTCAAATCAAGCGCTCCACGTCTGCGGCTCCAAACACTACAACAATCGACTCAATCCACGCCTAAGACCCTCATGCCAGCAAGCCAACCCTCCGACATTGCACCAGTCCATATTAGTGAGGCCCTGGCCATTACAACCATTCGCATACCCCAGTTCTTGACATCGCAACCACAACCCAATGCAGATTCCTGACCTAGCCATCTCTCCTAATTTCTCTGCCCTACTCACGACTCCTCCATAACTCACCTATTCCAAGTCCCTGCTGTGTTTGCTAGCTTCATCCTTGGCAGTCTGTCTACTTCTCGTCATCATGCCCACCTTTGGTGGAAGCCCCTCGTCTTCACTTTCGGGTTCATCCACCACCACTTGTGTGCCTTAGGGGTGGAGCAACCTTCAATTTGCTCTGATTTTCCACTCTCGCAGCCAGGTCTTCTTCCCCACTCGGCTCGATGCGTTATGAGCCTAGCCTGGAATTAATGACCTCGACAATGTGCCATCTCGTGTCAAACCAATGGTTTTGGAGCTTACACCGGCCTATTATTGCGTTGTTCCTCAACAAGACCTCCTGGCTTACTTCCCAGTTACTCTCATGGGCTTTCTCTTCTCGTTTCCTTCGGTTTATTTCCTTGTGTCTCCGCACACTGATCTCCACGGCCTCCTGCAACCTCCGTTGCCGATCTCTGATCACCATTACCCACTCATCTACCGGCTCTGGGAAAACCCCGTCGTGGTGTGCGGAGTCGCAATGTATTGCGACACCACTGCCTGCAGATGCTCGGGCCACTTATTCTTCTCCTCCTCCTCTAGGGTGGTTAGCAGACCATGCAGGGTTCTATTGAACCGTTCCACCATACCATTTCCCTGCGGGTGGTATGCCGACGTCCTGATCTTCTTCACACCAAATGTGGCACAAATTTGTCTGACCAGTGCACTGCCAAAATTTCTTCCCTGGTCAGTCAGCAACCGCTCAGCGGCACCCACGGCCAGGAAGAATCGATTCACCAGGATCTTTACAATCATCGAGGCTTTCTGGTCTTTGGTGGGAAAGGCCCAAGTGTATCGACTGTATACGTCAATCATTATCATAACGTTCTCTGTTCCTTGCCGCTTGTCAAGCAAGGGGAAATCTGCAGCCAGAGTCTGTAGTGGTTTGGTAGCTTCAATTGTCCCTAGATGCAGCTGGGTCCTTGGAACTTCATCTTTTGCCACTCCACACCTTTCACAGCTGGCTTTGTAGTCCCGCACAGTCGCTCCCATGCCTGGCCAGAAACCTTGCTCCTGCACCAGCGAAAGAGTATGATCCCGCCCCTGGTGCCCAAACTCATCGTGACAGGCTCTAATCAATGCCTCCTGCAACTTTGGTGGTAACGCTGGTACCCCTCTCCATAGGTTCTTTCCTTCCGGTCTTCTATGCCAGACAACCCCTTCTTTTACGATCAGGGATTGCCTCGCTCGGTACAACCTGCGGAAGTTATCATTTTGGATCTCTACCTGTACCTCGTCCTGCGGCAGCTCTCCCACCAACCATCTCCACATCTCTCTAACACATTTCATGCCTTCTTGCTCTCTACGCAGCCCATCTACCGTCCACAGTTCATTTATTCCTGCCCCGCTCTCCTCTACGACCTGCATAGCTGTATATTCTTCCTCCCTATCTTCCTCCTGTTCCGTCGGGATCTTAGATAGAGTATCTGCCACCGTGTTGCTCTTTCCCGGCTTGTACTTGATAGTGAAATCAAACTGCTCTTGATCAGCATTCCGCCTACTTTCCACAGCACCTAGCTTAGCATTCTCTCTGTGACTAAGTGGGTTGTTATCTGTATAGATCGTGAAATGTTTCCCTGTCAATTAATCCCTGAACTTGTCTACTACTGCCCATTTGAGTGCTAACATCTCTCACTTATGGGAGCTATAGTTTGTCATATTTCTTTTTGATTTCCTCAGGCCCCGGCTTGCATAGCACTCCGGATGCAGCTTGCCGTCCTTCCTCTGGGACAGCACAGCACCTAGCAGACTAAAACTTGCATCTGTCTCTAATATAAATTCCTGAGCGAAAGCCTGTTGCTGTCCCTCTCCCCACTCACTATCTACCCGATCCTTAGATTTCCCGTGCATTAACGCATGCAGTGGGGCAGCTATTTTGGCAAATCCTTTAACAAACTTCCTATAAAATGATGCGAATCCTACAAAGGACCGCACATCTTTCACCATCTGAGGGACTGGCTTTCAGTACCCTAATTTTCTCTGGATTAGCTGTGACGCCTTCGGCGGACACCTGATATCCAATAAATAGCATACTTTAGAGGCCATTATTTCGCACTTCTTAGGTTTAAATCTTAGATTATTCTCCCTCATCCGGCAAAACAATTCTCTCAATCTGACTACATGCTGATCTATTGTACTTGAAAACACCATCACGTCATCAAGGTATACAAGCAATGGGGAGAAGATTTTACCCCTTAGGATACGCTCCAAATAGCTCTGAAAGGTTCCCGGACTATTTGACAATCCCATAGGCAGTCGTCTGTACTCAAAGTGTCCGAAGCTTGTGCTGAAAGCAGTCTTTGGACGGTCTGAAGGTTTAACTTCGATATGGTGGTATCCAACCGCCAAATCGAAAGTTGAGAAAAACTGGGCCCCCGTCAGAAATTCAAGAGTTTCATTTATCCTAGGCAAAAGAATTGCATCGCGTACCGTGACCTTATTGAGGTTACGATAGTCATTGCATAACTTCAGCATTCCATCCTTCTTTCTCACTACTACAACGGCGACAGAGTAAAGACTCTCACTATGCTGGATTACTCCCTGATCTAACAACTGGCTAATGTGTTGCTTCACCTACTGGTACCTGGTTTGGAGGGATCCTGCGGTATGGCACCCTAACTGGCCTATCTGTTGTCACTGGGATCTCATGCTGAACCCTAATGGCCATTCCTATGGGCTGGCCCTCTCATTCGAAGATATCTCTTAACTCTTCTACTAAACCCCCAAATTTACGCTCTTTTTCCTCATTCATGTTCTCCGTGTGTACTTTGATCTCAGTCCGGGCATCCTGTTGGACTGCATGCATTGTATACACGATCTGCCGCAGGCCCCACAAGATGCTTTTCTATGAATTGTATTCGGCCGGCTTCGTCTCCTTCTGTCAGCTGGAGGGTTAGGTCAACCTCTCTTAACCAAATCCCTATCTCTGACCCTGTCCTACCGTCGAACTTAGAAATGGTCAACCCGGGCCCGAAACTAACTCCCGCTCTAGTATTGTGCTTCTTAATCTCACACATTGTCTCTTCATGCTGTGTTTGATACCGTGTCTCTACCCTGTCTAGTGCATCCCCAACTAAGCTAGGTGCTGTCGATGTTCCCCCTCTACTTTTCCACTTGAGCCTGATACCCCCCTTAATTCCTCCCTTGTCTGCTGGAAATGTGCCTGATGCTCCCCTTGTTTCCTCCCTGAACCGTTGAATGTGTGCGTGATGCTTCCACCTGAACTTGTTCACCCGTGCCTGATAATCCCTCCTTAGGTCTAAGAAATCCTCTCCCAGCTGTTGCACCTGTACTCCCAGTTGCATGGTATCTTGACTGTCTCTCTTCCTCCTCATACACATCTCTACTATCAATCCTAAACAACCCAATCCGGGCACAAGGATGAGCATCAGTGCGAGCTCAATCCCTACCATTACTAGCCAAAACATGATTTCGTTTATTATCCCAACCACAGGACTACCAGTCACGAATAAACTACGCAGTGCCACCAGTTGGAATTCGGTCGGAATTCTCACTATTTATTGTTTTTTTTTAGTTGTAGTGGATGGTAATGCAGTGGAAGTGCCCCTCAGAGAATACCGAACCAGCACAAACACAATTAATAAAAGTATTCTACGTGACCGTGGAATAGCTGAATCTAGGTAAATTTCTCGAAATCAATTGCTCGACAGTAAATTGCTCGAAATCAATTGCTCGAAAAATAATTTCTCGAACTATCAATTGCTCGACAGTAAATTGCTCGAAATAATTTCTCGAACTCGACAGTAAATTGCTCGAAATCAATTATTTAACGGTTGAATACTGTAGCAGTTCGAAGCTCGAAGCACCACGTCAGTTGAGCACTGCGCCTGCGCCGTCTAACGACACGTCAACGTAGCAGGTTATATAAGGAGCCTCAACACTCACCTTAGCAGTCAGTCTTCTAGGGCTTTCTCTCTGAGCTGACTTACCACACGGTGGCAGGGCTACTCTCTGTACGTGTGGTTCTCCCTTTCTTCCCATAGCAACCATGTTCATTGTCATTAGACTTGCCTTACAGTCTTCCCTTAATTGTTAATACTCGTCACTGGAATGTCTATTGTTGATATTGTACATTTTCTGGATTTAACATTAATATAACATCAAAAAAACTTCAATTGTTTCCATCAACCAACCATTAACCTACAATACTACTGTTCATTTTTCCTGATCGTTAAATACTCATTTTTTTCTTATATTTGTTTTCCATTTCTATTTCAGTAATTTTGGAAATCTCGAACCCTAGAGATGGATATAACTTTTGTTGAGAGCGAAAAAGGAAAGAAGAAATTATGTTTGGATGGATATCTATATATTAAGGACAAAACAGTGAACAATAAGATTTACTGGAAATGTGAAATGTGCAAAAAAATGAAATGTTCAGCACGTGTTATCACTGTCAATGAAAGTATCCAGAAACGAAGTGGGAATCACAACCATGCAGGAGACGCTGCTGAAATTGATGCCGCTAAAGCCATGGAGAAAGTGAAAGAACATGCAATAAATAGTCAAGATACACCACATTATATTGTATCATGTGCTTCAATGGAAGTAAGTGGTGCTGCAGCGGTGAAGCTCCCTTCAGTATCAAATATGAAAAGAACCATACGTAATATACGCGCAAGGAAAAAATACTGGACCTGCTTTGCCAAATAGCTACCTCGATCTTAACATCCCAGAAGAGTTTGCCAAAACCATCAAAGGAGATTTATTCCTTATTTATGACTCTGGTCCCATAAATGGTCGTATATTAATTTTTGCAACCCAAAGCAATCTCGCTATCTTAGCACGTTCTGAGCACTGGTACGCTGATGGAACTTTTAAAACTGTGCCTTTGATTTTTGGTCAACTGTATACAATACATGGTGTGAAGTCAGGTAATATTACACCCCTCGTATATGCACTGTTACCTAACAAAACCGAAGAAACCTATAAGAGGTTCCTGAAGGCTCTTAAAGAAAAAATCCCTATATTCCAGCCATTGACAATAATTATTGATTTTGAACTTGCCATGGTTAAGGCCATAGAACAAGAATTTCCAATGTCTGAATGTAGTGGGTGCTTTTTTCATTTCAGTCAAAGCCTTTATCGAAAAATTCAAACAAGTGGCCTTAAGGTAATGTACGACACCAATGCTGAATTTGCTTTAAAAGTTCGTCTCTTATCTGCGTTGGCATTTATACCTGTACCCAATGTTGAGGAAACATTTGAATTTCTAGTTGAAAATGAAATTTTTCCAGATGAACTTCAAGGAGTAGTGGATTATTTTGAAGACACTAATAGAGTAAATATTGGCAATAATACATTTTTATTTTTTTATTTTTTTAAGTATGAAGAACAACAAAAATAATAAAAATAGACCCGTTCTAATTTTAAACTATGACGAAACAAACAATGTAGAAGAATATTTAAGAACTGTTGTATAATAGAAATGTACCCGTTCTTAATTTTAACTGTTCAATTAATAATAATAAAGTTGTATTTTTTTATCTTATTTTTGGATTTTCTTCATTAAACCACTATTTTCGAGCAATCTGCCTTTCGAGCAATTGATCGTTCGAGATATTATTTTTCGCGCAAATGATTTCGAGCAATTTACTGTCGAGCAATTGATTTCGAGAAATTTACCGGATACCGAATAGCTAGTATCTGTGATTGGGGTTAATGAGACGTGCTGGTAAAAGATGACACTTCTATTCCTTCCAAAACTACAGACGGAATCAATAATTGTACGCAAACACTAGAGTACTTCTTAGCGGAGCTTACAACACTACAATGGGAAACAAACGTTGCACATGGTATCAAAAAAAATAAGGCAGCAGTACTACATAAACCAGAACAGACACCAGAACGAGGAATTTACCTTGAACAACTTCTTCATACATCCTACATCACTCACCGGCACAGAAAAACATTAGAAAAATATTACTTGCACCGATGAAAATGCCTTAAGTGCATCCAACAAAATTATAGCAATCCCTGAGGAATAGAAATCCTGATTTAGTCATACTACACAAGAACATGGATCACTGATAGCCTGTCGTGAATGACCCACAAAATACTATAATCCTAACTGTCCTAACTACACAGAGCCCGAAGGTTGTGACTACTTACCTGCCAAGTGGCAGGAGAAAATCACTCATGACCCGTCAGGCAGGCGGGTGTTCAGCTGTTTTTTTATTGCTCTTTCTAGGTTCAGGAGTCATGAGTGCATTTCTCCACCAAAACCCGTAACGTGCTTCACACATAAGTTCAGAATGCACCCATACTTTAAGGTGCTACAGCCTTTCACCAATTTTTGAAGAGGAACTCTACGTCCCACGTGTGCAATCAACCATGAGGAGCGTCGATTTTCACAACTGGACTTGGCTATTTTAATCACATACACCCAATACTGGGGAGATGAATGTCTCTATGTAACCATTAGAACTCCCGGTCCCAGCATGTGACCCTTCATTCACTCAGTCTGCACTCAGTTGGCTTACTCCCAGTACTTCATGGACAGGAAGAGAGCAACCGTCAGCCCACCTAGTTAGGCCAGCTCAGAGTACAACCAGGTGAACCTTGCCCAGGTGAGGGAGGGGTTCTACTTTCCCGTTAGTAAGATTTTTCACTGACTGACTGAGGAGATGTGTGGGTGGTTCTTGTGATGTTGTATGAACCTAGGTGGGGAGATTCGATGGACCAGATCGACCACATCCAAGCTCTGCGGTTAGTCACGGTAGTTTTGTAACTAGGGACACCTGTCTGCTCGCCGGCCGGGTGGGTATCCACCCCGTGAGTAGCCAGCTATGTCTTCCAAACCACCATCTACACCAACCATCAACCACCACCCAAGTACTTTGTTAACTACTGTTAAATTCTTCTCCGCCCTATCTAAACGCTGCCTGAGATCTAATAAGGACTTACTTGCAACACGGATGAACGTGCGGCAAGGTTCGAGGCCACGTGGTCGCTTTCCTTGGCGGAACGACTAGTTAGACGTCCGTCTCGGTCAATGGCCGTGAACTACTGAGGCCTTGTCAACGCCTGCATCCCTAAGGGCGCTCGCCTGCCCCCACATGACGTCATCTTTCCCGTATATCTAATAGTTTCTTTGGGACACACGTAACATATTTAGAACTGGGAAGTATCCACAATAACATAAAATTTTATTATTATCCCTTAACTTCATGAATCGTGTCTAGATTAATTCGATAAAGTACATTTAAATTTCTATAGGCCTAGTTCACAATTCTTCCACCCCCTGACTGAGGGCGTTGCTTGGAGGTTTTGTTTTAACTCACCACGATGTATGAGTGTTTTAGCCTGGCCTACTTCTGTTACCTGTTCGGCAGGACTCGAACCCACGATCTAATGTGTGTGACCGTGGAACGTTACCTCTAGACCACTAGGACACTAAAAGCAGTCCTTGACTTTGTTATATTTCACACAAAGCCTGTTCATCGAGCTTATGGCTCCGTGAACCTCCAATAGGGAACTACCCGTGCCTCGTAAGTGATCAGAGTAACGTTTTACCAAATCTGGCTTCGAAACACGAGGTTCCATATATATTTCATTAGCCCATAGAGCGCTCGGACTTCTACATATAATCAACAACCTCACCCCGCCAGGACTCAAACCCACGATCTTATGTGTGTGACCCGGGAACGTTACCTCTAGACCACTAGGAAACTAAAAGCAGTTCTAGACTTTGTTATATTTCACACAAAGCCTGTTCATCGAGCTGATGGCGCCGTGAGCCTCATTGGGAACTGCCCGTGCCCGTGCCTCATATGTGGTGTCAGTCTAGGACTACTTTTAGTGTCCTTGTGGGTTGGACGGTAGTATTTCCTATTCCCACCCAGTAGGTCGAGGGTTCGATTCCTGGCTAGTGAGGTCGTTGATTATATGTTCAAAGTCCGCGTGTTATATGGACTAAAAATGAAGTATATATATGGTACCTCGTGTTTCATACCAGCTGGATTCGGTAAAATACTACTGACACCACATACGAGGCACGGGCAGTTCCCAATGAGGCTCACAGCGCCATCAGCTCGATGAACAGGCTTTGTGTGAGATATAACAGAGTCTAGGACTGCTTTTAGTGTCCTTGTGGGTTGGTCGGTAGCGTTCCCTAGTCCCACCCAGTAGGTCGAGGGTTCGATTCCTGGCTGGTGAGGTCGTTGATTATATGTTCAAAGTCCGCATGTTATATGGACTAAAAATGAAGTATATATATGGTACCTTGTGTTTCATACCAGCTAGATTCGGTAAAATGCTACTGACACCACATACAAGGCACGGGCAGTTCCCAATGAGGCTCACGGCGCCATCAGCTCGATGAACAGGCTTTGTGTGAAATACAGCAGAGTCTAGGACTGCTTTTAGTGTCCTTGTGGGTTGGTCGGTAGCGTTCCCTAGTCCCACCCAGTAGGTCAAGGGTTCGATTCTTGGCTGGTGAGGTCGTTGATTATATATATATATATATATATATATATATATATATATATATATATATATATATATATATATATATATATATATATATATATATATATATATATATATATATATATGCTTATAACCACAAGGAAAAAAGAAAACACAAAGTTCCAAGCGCTTTTGTGTAATTCACATCCTCAGGGGTGAGTACAGACTAAGAAGTAATACTTGACAAGGCTAATATATACAGTAGAGGAGAGTGAGATCAAGTCCCTAAGGGACAGTAGGTGTCCACAATGTTCCGGTCATAAGGCAGATACCCAACCCTTACTAATCTTCTTAATAAAAAAATTGACCATGCCATCTCTAAGCACAGCAGCTGTCCGTAGTCAGGTCAAAGGACCTACAGTGATTTACTTGCATATACATATATATATATATATATATATATATATATATATATATATATATATATATATATATATATATATATATATATATATATATATATATATATATATATTCAACGACCTCACCAGTCAGGACTCGAACCCTAGACCTTATGCGTGTGACCAGGGAACGCTACCGACCATGCCACAAGGACACTAAAAGCCATCCTAGACTATGTTATATTTCACACAAAGCCTGTTCATCGAGCTGATGGCTCCGTGAACCTCCCATTGGGGATTGCCCATGCCACTTATGTGGTGGGAGTAACATTTTACCGAATCCAGCTGGTATGAAACACGAGGTACCATATATACTTCATTTTAGTCCATATAACACGCTGATTAAAACATACAATCAACGAACCTCCCACCACATAAGTGGCGCGGGAAATCCCCAATGGGAGATCACGGCGCCATCAGCTTGATGAACAGGCTTTGTGTGAAATATAACATAGTCTAAGTTTGCTTTTAGCGTCCTTGTGGCATGGTCAGTAGCATTCCCTGGTCACATGCATAAGGTCTAGGGTTCGAGTCCTGGTTGCTGTGGTTGTTGATTATATGTTCAAGTCCGTGGGGCTACTCAGAGTTCACTGGTGTCGTCAGGCAATCCTGTGAGGTCACTAGGTTAATGCACCTTGGAGCTGGTAGACCTCTTGGAGTTGATTGAGTATGACAGGTCAAGTAGTTGGCCTGTACCAGATGTAGCTGCGTTCACAAAGAATTTACCACACTCTGTTTTTACACACTGCAGAGACATTTTTTAAACAACTTGGGATGTCTAAA